GAAGGCTGATGTGGTTCATGGAGGACCAGAGCCAAATCAGCGCTTCTCTTGGTTTCTTCAGTCAATGTTTCTTCTCTTCCAGCATACTGCTTTTTTGCACTGTGCTGGCTGCTTGTAGACTCTTGGAAAAGAGATTCTGCTTGTTTTCTGTAAATAAATCTCTGACCCAGGAAGCCTGCAGGTAGCTGGGTCTCCAGCTTTCATGGGTGGAAGCTTGATTGTCCTAGCCCATAAGTCAGGAGCCTGAAGTGGATGAGTACAGGCTGGTAAATTATAGATACAGACACCATATCTGTAGGATATGTGTTTCCTGTGTATGGGTATATGCTACAAAACACTGTGTAACTTCCTGTACAAAGAACTGTAGATTTTGGCATCTCTATTCCTGTCTCCAGTCCCTCGTGGGAAAGGCTTACCAGTCCAATTAGACAATGCCAATCTTATGGTATATGAAGCCTTTTGGGAAACACAGAATAAATTTCTCTGGAAAAAATCACCTAGGAAATTGTTGGGCTGATAGGAAGGGAAAGCTGGCAACAGCACCAGGGAAGAAGCATGGGCTGTGTCAAGCCAGGGAGCTAGCATTAAGCCCTACAGACCATTTCAAGAGGTTGCATTATGGGCTTCAGGCTAAGCAGTGAGTGTTTAGGTCTTACTGTTTTGACTAGTGCAATGAGCAGCTTGGGCTAAGCTCCCAATTAGCTGCCCAGCCACCAGCACCCAGCCTGCCTGGTGCCAGAGCCCTGCACTAATGGACATGCTTGACAGGGACAAGGGCGATGGTTAAAGGAGGCAGCAGCAGCTGCTGTCAGGAAAGCGTAACTATAATCCTCAAGGCTTTGAAGTCTCAATAAGAGCAGATCATAGAGGTGCTCCTCATTTGACTGGGAAGAGATAAATGCTTTCTTTAGTCACAATGGCACAGGGCTTCCTAGTTAGGAGTAAAGATATTCCCCTTACAAATCTTTCATTCTCTGGGAGCAGCTGAGTGACCAAAACACCACCACAGAGCTGTGTTCAAAAGCACAGACTCGGGACCCTGGCTTCAACATCGAGGAACTTGAACATTTGAGTCTCAGATCTCCCCGGAACAGGCCAGAAGAGAATTCTGTACTCATACCAGAGAAAAGCCATCATGTTTCTGGTGCAGAAACCAGAAGGTTTTTGAATATGTCCCAGGACAAGAGGACATTTTCATAGTGTTAAGAGAGGGACTGCTCTCAACTGCAAGTAAATGTTTCTTCAGGACGGATGAACAGTTTTATGCCCTCTGTATCATTTACAGTAAGCCATTATGGGCGATCCTAGAGATCTGAGGGTATCTAGACTTGTCTGCAATAAGATGAATAGTAAGTATTTTTTATCCCTGAACATGCAATGGCTTCTTTTTCATGCAGGTGAGTTTGGGATTCACAGCTGCCATTGCCACCACTTGTTAGAATAATTCCTTATGCATACATACGCGTCTATGGGGCATCCCTGCAGGCTACCTCAGCCTGGACAGGTCCTGTGACAGCTCCTGGTTCCTAAATAAAGGGATCTTGTTTAGATCCCAACAAAAATCACTTTTGGAAGAGGGGCACACAGTGGTAGCCAGCCTGCTACAGTGAGTGTCTCAAGCTAGCCAGGAAAATTCTGAGGGGAGCAGAGTGAGGAAATTGCCTTACACCATCTTCTTTTAAAGAGATGCAAGTATCCAGATGCAGATTGTATCCTTACTAAGACTCAGGTCTTGGATTCAACAATCAGAGTTAAGTGGTAATAAGACCTTGCAAATGGTTCTCATATGATATTCAGCCTCAAAAAGGACATGATTTTCTGTCTTTTGAACTATCTTTGAGTATACCAAAACCAAAGTCTTCAAAAGGACTCGGTAGGGTACTGCCTCTGATCCAGGACCAAGACCAAAGTAATACATTTAGATCTTGGGATTTGATTCTGACCCATATGAAACCTGAAAGCTTTTGATTTGCTGGGCAACATTCTCTGCTGCCCTTGTCTTGGTTATTGCACAGGAGGTTCATAGTGATGTATATCATATCTCACAGCTGCAGCAGTGAGTTCAGTAACCTTTGCATTACTGGACCATGGCACTGAGGGTGATGGAAGGCCAAGTCCTGGCATTTGGCAGAAACTCAAGAGCTTTAAAAGCTACACATTATCAGAGCAACAAAAAGGAGCCTGTGCTGGTTTAGGTCATTTAATTTTCAATTTGCTGCAAAAGGGATCAGGCAAGCCAGAAGGCAGCGTAAAATACACTGATCTGTCAACAGAACAGGATGAAGCAACTTCAAATGGGCCCAATTAAAAAAAAAAAAAAAAAAAAAAAAAAGAAATTTTTAAAAAAACCCAAGCCCACACACTAGAAAATACAAGCAAGATAATCTGGATCTTGACTTTCCACAATGTATACATTTAAGTACCAGATCTTGGCGTATGGCCAGACAGCTTTGGCTGGTGAAGTGTAAAGGCAAACATATCTGCTTAGCCAAGCCAGCACCACTGGATTTTGATAAGCCGGCTCAGATTGCTCTAGTGCTCCAGAGCGGAATGGGCTGTGTGAGTGCTTTGATAGGGGCTGTATTGCAGACACTGATCTGCCTTCCCTGGAACACTGGGAATGGAGACAATAAGATAGACAAAGAAACCTAAATGAGCAGCACCGTAAACCTGTTACTTTGCCTTCTTATTATGACAGAATGAGCTAAGTTTATGCTTTTGGAGGCGAAAAGGACCTGCATATGCCTCCTCCTTCTGGTGACTTTGTACACCAGCCCATCTGAAAGCAGGAAAACCCAAAATCTAGAAGTGACCTTCATCAGCAAGGACCATCTGGGAGACTTTTTTTACATATTATCAGGCTAACTTTTATCCTCAATGCCACAGTAATTCCCAAGAAAAGATTCAGATTTCAGTGGCTCAGGCAGACCACCATCCTATGGAGCAGGAGTAGGGTGCTATAAAAGATACTGGGTGAAATTTTCAAGACTGTCTAGTAGTTTAGGAGACTACCTTCAGCACATTTTCAGCAAATCATGTTATTTTACATGGCAGATATTCAAATGTCTGTAGGCACTTATAGCTGCCAACTGTAATGCTTAGCAGGATTTTCAAAGGCAAGTCATTTTTACAAATCCAGTTTGTACCTGTTTGTAGCATTAGATTTCTAACTGTGTCAGGAGAGGGATATTTTTAGTCTGGAAATGTTGCTCTGAAGCACTCTGAAATTTCATGCTAAACATCCTGTTTTACCAAATTTCTCCTCAAACTTTGATTTTTCCACTGGCAGCAGAAACTGAAAACATTGCTACTACAATTTCTAGCCATTGAAGTAATTGTGATTTCTGCATTAAAACATAAATGACAATAATGGTCAAGAGGAGGAGTCTGATAAAGATCTTGTTTTCTCCTTTAAAAAAAAAAATGAAGTCTTGAAATGTTAGTGAAGCTTTAATGAAATGATTCCTATTCATTCTGTTGCGTATCAGTTGTAGTGCATTAGTCCTTTTAGCATGGTCCTATTAATCTCATGCCTTACTTTCATGATAATCACTGTGCTGGCATTTCATTACTACCTTTACTTAAAATCCCAATACCCACGCTGTTTATGTTTCACGATCTAGTATTATCTGGACTGCTTTTCTGCCAGGTGGAGACTTGAAAAACTCATAGAGATCTGTGAAAAAGGAGATGGGAGTAGGCTGAGTGATCTGTTAGCATCAGTCGTTGTGTCACTGCCTTCCCTGCCACCACAGGGAAGTCAAGAGTACGGGTGGAAGTTCCCAGCTACAAGGCAATGCCAATCTCAGGTTACTGCAGGACCAAGTTCTACCAAAAAATGCAGGTACAGCATGACAAATTGAAAAGAAATATGAAAGCACTAGCCTTGGGTGAATTTTAATGTTATTATTGTATTAATCAAATGGCTTCAGGAAACTAGAAACAGAACATTTATAAAGCTTTCTTGGGATTTTTTTAAAGAAAAAACCCAAAACATCCCAAATAAAACAAAGCAAAAACAAACAAAACAAAAAACCCCCTAAGCTATTTATGTTTCACTTTTAAGGACAAAAAACTCTAACCAAACTCCCTCTTTTTCTGTTAAATGTACACAGAAATTCCATGATGTCTGTTCTCTATTATAAAAATGCTTAACTCATGGCAAGCCTCAAAAAAGAAGACTTGAAAAAGCCTGTAAGAAATAAAATAGACTGCAGTTGCCTGCTGGATATCACATCATATATCTCACCAGAAAGAAAAGCCATCAATTTATCAAAATGTATCTGAAAAGGAGAAGTTGAGTCAGTTCCACATGGGCAGTCCTTCTGACTCTTTAATGGATACATTTTGAAGCATCACTGCAGATAACAGGGCAAGAATTACTACTAATTTTGTTATGTTTGAACTATATTTTGGTGCTCCCCAATTTCCTTGGGCTCATGGGAAACAAAATTAGTATAAATACATTACCATGTTAACTGTATTCAAAATCCCATGGACAAATGTATCCTTTTACAGTCCGTCTTCAGAGCAATTAACAAAGATTAAAAAACGCTAATAATTATTGCTTCACTTTTGTTTCTCTTATATTTTTCAAACATTCACCCTCCCCACTTCATAAATCCTTATTATTTGTCACATGCCACATTGATATTTTTGCTTTCCCGCTGTGTCAGTAAAGTAACTGCTACAAACATGTGAACTATTAATTACCTGGGATCACTTTCAAGAAGTTTGGCTTTCCATGCAAACAACTTTATATTAACCAGATAGTCACTACATATCTGTGTTTTGCTGTTGCCAAGTCCATGGGATCTGATGCTTGGCTGTATAATATTTATTTTATAGACAGTGTATATATACATAAATGTATATATATACACATATACACACATATATATACATATATAATTATATATGTATACATTCACACACATATATTTATATGTATGCATTGTTTTTTGCAAATGAAATAAGAAAGCAAGCAAAACAAGACTGACCTGACTTACCTGTACTGGGCTCACAGTCAATGAAATCTTCATCATCACTGGAACATTCAGCTGATGAAACGATGTCATCTGTTGTCTGGCATGTGAAGGAAAGGAATGAAGGAAAAAGAACAGAGGAAAAACAAGTAAGATATTTGCAAGTCAAGAGGCTGTTACAGAGGCAGCTAAGCATCCTAGAAAAAAAAAAAAAAATGTTTCATAGAATCATAGAATCATAGAATGTTTTGGGTTGGAA